GAACCTGTAAAGAGTTAAAGCCTATTTCCATTGTTAGATCACTGTAGTTCTATATATCTCTGATGCATTTGCGCCGGATCAGTTTCAGATTATCTGCTTTTTTTAATTTGTCTGTATTATCTCTCTTTCTTTTTATCTATATATATAGACAGAGAGACCGACTCCTTTTATTCAAGTGGGATCTGCTCTCTCTCTCTCTCTCTCTCTTTCTTTCTTTCTCCCTTTCTTTCTTTCCATCAGCTTTATTTATTCCCATTAGATCTCATATATTTTCTAAATTCCAAACCTCTCTTTGATGAATATCACAAGACCCCATCAACATCCTTCACTTCTCCAAACTCATGCATGAAACTATTCAATTGAGTATCTTTGCCTCTGCAAAAGGAAACTGAACAACAACAACTTCCCCAACCCAACTCCACTATTTAGTTCTCCTTTTTCTACTTTCCCCACTTCAATTCTCTCCAAACAACCCACCCATGATGTCGCCTGATAATATTCTGGCGAAATCATCATCCGTTTCCAACAAAGAAGATAACCAAAACCCTAAAAACAACCGCAAACCATCCTCAACAAGGCCACAAGAGCAATCCCTCAAGTGTCCAAGATGTGACTCCCCCAACACTAAATTCTGCTACTACAACAACTACAGTCTCACTCAACCAAGGCATTTTTGCAAGACTTGTAGGAGGTACTGGACTAAAGGCGGAGCCTTGCGCAACGTTCCCATTGGTGGCGGTTGTCGCAAGAACAAGAAGATTAAATCTTCTTCAAGGCTCTCCGGTGACTCCAAAGACTCTGGTTCTACTTCAGAGATGGGTGGCTTGAAGTTCTTTCATGGCCTCTCTCCAGCCATGGATTTTCAGCTCGGTGGGTTATCATTTCCAAGGATGAACGTTAACCCTTCTGAAGGACCTGGTATTTGTACCCAGTTCTCTTCTTTTGGAGATAATACCAACCCTTGTTTCAGTCTTGATCCGCCGGGAACCGCTGGGACTAATTTGATGGGGTTTAACTTTAATCCACTTCCTTCTGTTACTAATAGCTTCAGTGGTGCAATTCAAGAAATGGGTTCGTTGAATGTTAACAGTAGTCTTGCTTCTTCAATTGAGTCTTTGAGTTCTATAAACCAAGATTTGCACTGGAGGTTGCAGCAGCAAAGATTGGCTATGCTTTTTGGTGGAGATCAGACTCAAAAAGAAAGCACTATCTCTTCAGTTGCTCTCGAGAACCAGCCACAGAAACCACAACCCATTTTGTTTCAGAACCTGGAGATTTCAAAACCTGAGGTTACTACTTGTGGGGTTGGGAATAATTCAAGAAAAGAAGGCGCTAGTGGTTCGGCTACAACTGAGTGGTTCTTTGGTAATTATGCACCAGTGGGTGCTTCTTCCACTCCGACAACAACCAGTAGTGGTAACGGCAACGATAACGGAAGCAACTGGAGTGGCGTTCAAGCGTGGACTGATTTGCAGCATTACAGTGCTTTACCCTAGAGGTAGACCTTAAAGGAATGATGAACAATTAGATCAGGAATTAAATGATGAGGAATATTTGATCATATAATATTATGAAACTCATTCAGGTATATGTTTAATTGCTCCTGTTATATTGGGTGCAAAGGAGGATCAGATAGTGTTTTTTTTTTTCTTTTGTTTTTATATTTTGTGTTAGAGAAGATATGGAGAACAATAGTACTCTTAAATGTTGATGTCAATGCTATTGTTTATGATAATGTTGATGTTGTTGTCTGTTACATTTAATCTATTTCCATTAACCTCAAGCAGGAGGGGATTGATTGTAAACATGTGTAATTAGCTTGAGTAACACTACATCATCTCAAGAAAGTTACAGTTTGATCATGGTTAAACATTAATCAAATCTTGTCGATGATCTCTTTGGGATCAGTGATGGATTTTAGATTGTTATTAAATGGACTTAATAATATATCTTTGATTTGTTTGATGTTGGATCAGCATCAAAAACTCTCACTGTCTTGTGTGATTCTCTCTCCATAAACATATAGCAGAAAACTGAGTCTCAGGCTCCTCAGCTACTGAACAATGTCACCATATAAGAAAGTGCAGCATACTCAGTAGCAGCTTAGCCCTGCAGTGTTTAGCATATAGCCTGCCTTCCTCTAATTTCTCTCTCTATCTTACTCTTTTTTAATTTTTCTGTCTGTGCCTAGGGCTCTTAATAATTAGTTGCAGCGTGGTTTGATATGTTGGTGTCTGAAAAAGTGGTGGTTTGAAAGTGTATTGAATAAAAGACTGTGGCATCTGAGAGGCTTTGGGTTCTCTTGTTTTGTTTTAGAGTCTCGGGGAGTGAGCCTCTCCCTGCTAATTGTAACTCGGTATCATATATATTGTCACCCTTCTTTTTTTTTTACTAGCGAGAAAGAAAGAAAAGCTTATTTTGCTTTGAATATCTTTACTCATTGCTTTGTGAATCAAAGGGTCCCCCAATCTTTCAAAATGATCGCCATATGTTACGTTAATCTTAATCCAATTTTCCTTTAGGGATTAGTGCATCAAATATATGGCTTAAAACAGTAAATTTTTTGTCATGCAACATGTTTATATGGAACATTATTAATTATTATGAACCTAACCCCACAAGACTTAGATTATTTACGTATCTGCATATAACGCCCTGTCTCCTTCTTCAATAGTAGAGTGTTGGTTACAGGCTGTAAACAATGCCATTGCCAGCCTATATCTATGGAAATCATGAAATGGGTATATATATAATTTCTTCACCTCTTGTTTAGGGCTACAATATTATGAAATCACCGCAGAAAGATAAAGCATTTAATATTTGTGTTCCAAACTTTTAAGTGTTTTAAGTACAACAGTCTATAGGTTTATATGAATATATTGAAACCATTGTATATGCTCTTTCCCTCAGGTCCCCCACATCTTTCTTTCAATACATTTTCATGCCTTTTTCTCTCTCAATATTTATTTATATATTTATTCATCCCTCGCTTTACAATCATTTCTATTTTTATTTAGAATGAATAAATAAATAATATGAGAAATATGGGGAGAAATTGGTTGGCTGAAGAGGAGAGGAAGTGTGAATAAGAGAAATGAACATGATTAACGTGAAAGAGAGATAAACTTTTGTTTGAGTTTTGTGTCAACTCAACTGTCTTTTACAACTTACCATCTTCTATCTTGCGAGAAGCTCATGACATTAATGGTTGCGCTATTCTTCACGTCATCCTTACAATCAGGGACGAAGCAAAAATTTTAATTTGTACCCTTCTACTATATTCCGTTTATTTTATTTTATTTTATTTTTCTCAAATCTCAAATGTATATGCTTTTAATGTATTAAAAAGTTTATTTCTTTGCTCCCACTGAAACAAAATCCTGACAATACTTAAATTAATTTGGTTTTAGGAGGAACATGTGATGTGATGATGATCATGATCATGATAATTGGGAAGAAGTGTTGAGTTGGTTGTAATGTACTGAGAGTGATTACGTGGGTAAAGGAATGGGAATATAAAGATTGGAAACGAAAACGAGAACAATGTTTTCATTTCATCACTCTTTCTGGCTTCTTCCCCCCACACCGTCCACCAAGCCATACTCATCATTTCTTTTTCTCTTTTTTCTTTCTTAGCTTTTAGTGTGCAGTGGATATATGTTTTTTGTATTCTGAAAAAACAGATTAAATGAATTTGTAATGGGTAAACTAGGTCACGAGAATACAAGGTATTGATCTGACAGTCAAGAAGGTTTGTTCATTTCATTCACTTCTTAGGTTCAAACCACCTTGACTTACCTTGAAACATTGAGTTTGTATGATGTTCAATGGATCTTGAAAATTAGTCGAGATGTGCACAAACTAACCTAAACACTCCCATCATTAAAAAAAAAAAAAAAAAATTAGGCAACGAGTCCCATCACATTTATCACTCATGCGTACAAAATCCATGAGGATTATTACCTATCTATCTAGATTCTTATTTATGTTTTTTTTTTTTTTTTTGGAATTAATTACATTAACCCTTATCTATGGAGAAACATAAATTAGACAATCTCTTTACAATTTAATTTTATCTTAAAAGTCCCGGAAGTGATTTTGAGCCCCTATCTTATCTATGAACATCTCCATTATTAAATACACCTCTTTATATATATATATATATATAATAATAATAATAATAATAAATTCTAAACTCTATGTAATACCGAAAATAGTTTTTAAGCTTAATTAGCCTTTTCGTTTACACCCATTTTCTCCAATTTTAATCTTTTTAGATTTTTGCTAACATTTTTTTCCCCAATTTTAAATTTGAAACTTATTTTCTCTTTTCGTTTACACCCATTTTCTCCAATTTTAATCTTTTTAGATTTTTGCTTACATTTTTTTCCCCAATTTTAAATTTGAAACTTATTTTCTCTTCTTCATATTCATATTCATTTCCTTATGTGATTACCTTCACCATAATTCATTATAAAAAATTAGAATTAGAGCTTTTGTAAGAATTAAAGGTTAAAAATTTTAAAAATGAAATAAAGTATGAGTATTGGTAATCCAATGACTAAGAAATTGCTTGATGGCATTAAAATAACTAACTCTTAACTTTTCTTTTTTCATTCAAATCCGTTGGATTATATTGAATCAACGGTCGTGAATTTGTGTCAAAAAAATTGTATTACAATAGTCTAACCCATCTTCATTAAGGTTAAATTTGTCAAAACAAAATAAAAATAAAAATAGAGATACTTTAAATTGGAAAGAGGCTAAAAATCATTTCCCTAAAAATTCCGGGCTTTTTCTTTGTTTAAGAGCAGCGAATTTTCTTGGAAAGCCACAGGAGCCTAGATTTGGTTTGTTCGACCCAAGCCCAGAAAAGTCATCATGGGCCTGCAAAACCCTTTTTCCGATGTTATTTTTCTATTGAGCCACGTAATAATCAGTTAAGATTTTTATTAAATATATAAAGGATTTTTATTATTTATTTACTCAAGAAGACAAGATTGAACCATAAAAGGAAACCTCAGTTGATTTTACTTTCTCACAAATACACACAAGAATCATATAATGAGAAACATGTAATATAATTCCATTCCTTCAGTTGATTTTACTTTCTCCCTAATAAACACAAGAATCATATAATGAGAAGACAATAATACAAATCTAAACAACAGATGAGCAATCTGAGGTTTCACTTAACTATCTTGACCAAATCTTTTTCTTATTATCCCTCTCCTTAATTCCTGCAACCTGATCTTTGTTAATTCTCTTGTGAATGGGGGGTCCTTGAGTAGTGGTGACTGGCTTTGTTGTTCTCACCAGCCTTGCAACTCTGGGAGGATCAGATTTCCTTTTCTTGTTATCATATAAAGAAGTTGGTGCCGCGGCATTGTTCTCTGTCTCTCCACTCCTGGACTGTCGTTTCTTTCGAGTCTCATAGAGATAATCATTTCCTTTTGGCAATACAGAACCGTGGCTCATTGGCCGCTTAATTGAGTTAGAACTCCTTAGAATACGAATATCAATTTCACTCATCACCTCATCATCTCTCTTACAAGTTTTGCCTTCAGTAGGAGTGGCTCTTATCAGCTCAGCAAATTCATGAGACAGCCTGCTCTGCAATTGTTGCTCTTGCTCCCTCAACTTGTCCTCAACCTCCTTAATCTGTCATATCATGCAGAATATTTGTTAGTCAATAATGGCAAGCAGTTCAGAAGATCATCAAATTCCCCTCCCGTTGTTAAATCTCTCTAAGTTAATATAATTCTACTTAGTCAGTGGCAGCTAAAAGTTAACAAGATTTTTTGTGCAACTGGAGGAGGTGGAAGGAGGGTATGGCTCACAATTTCAAGACTTCAACAAAATGAGATGGTTTCCTGGTTCTATCATATGAAAGATATCCTTGTTAAATCAATAGAAATGAGCCAACAATATCACTCTGAATAAAGGCTTCACCTTTTGGCGAAGCACAAAGGACTCTGTGCTCTGCTCTTCCTGCGCTTTTAATTTTGTCTCAAGCTCCTTGATCTGGAGAAGTAGTAAACAAAAGGTAAAGATAAATATAGTTTCTCCAACTTTCCATTTGCTCATAAATAGATTAAAAATTAGCATTGAGGAGTAAATCTTGCCGACCTTATTTTGAAGGATAAGAGAATGAGATTGGGACTCCTGTTCTTGCTCTTTCAGCTTATTCTCAAGATCTTTGATCTGTTCAGAGTCAAAAAATAGTAAAGCAGTTGTTTAACAATAATGTAATTGGCTAGAAAAGAATTTTAAAGTCAATCTTTGAAGCTTTGACACAATGATTTCCAAGAACATGAAAAACAGAACACTAAGGTAAGTTTTGATCACGAACCTTCATTTGGAAAGTCGCAGACTCTGATTGTTGTCGTTCTCTAAGCTTGGCTTCTAGCTCTTTGATCTTTGCAGAAAATAGTAAAATGTCGATTATAATTCCAGTTAGCCATGAACAAAAGAGTAAAAAATATCCATTATAATATAAGTGAAAAAGCTACCTTTATTTGGAGATTACTGCAAAGCTCTTCTTTGCCCTTCAATCTATCTGAAAGTTGTGAGAATTGCTTCTCCGACTGGCTGTGCAAGTTTGACTTCAACACAAGCTGGCCTTCAAGTTCTTTGATCTTCTCCTGTTGGTTTTTATAAGTTTGATCCTTGCCTTTGGCCCTGTTCTCCAGGTTCTGTAAATTCTCTTCTAGCTTCCTTAAAGATTCCTCCTTGGATCTTGATTCTTGTCTAGCTTTTTCAAGCTTTACAGGAAGAAAATTAATGGTTAAAATCAAATGCTCAAATTATTATCAGCTAAAAGAGATTCTGAAATTAGCACAAGTATATATGACGTCAGTTAAAAATCTTGAGAGAAATTACCATCACTTTCATTTTTTGAAGCTCAGTTGTATCTATCTGCTTCTTTGTAGGACCTAACTCAATCCCTCGAACTCGAGTGGCAAAATTTAATGAACTCAAGGTCTCACTCAAGTCCTTCTCGGAAGGGCTGATTTGTACAAACATTAAAGTTTTGGAGTCACCCCCTGCAACACATACAAATTGATATCAATATGAGTGACTAACCAAGATTGAACATTTAAGTCCTCCCATGAAATCAAAATAGACACACTCTGAATGATATCTACCTAATGAATCTTGTAGTAGATGTGTCAACTTAGAGTTCCTGAAATGAAAAGCAGATATAATTAAGATTAAAAACAGGTTCTGATGGGATGATCCATAGGCAAGCAAGACGTAATGCAGACCTGTATGGAATGTGACTACTTTTAGTTGCTAAAGCGTATATGACATCTCCAAGTGCTGAAAGTGATCTATTAATATTTTGAGCTTCCTTGAGTCTCTCTCCTTGCACATCAGTTCTTGCAAGTCGCTCACTGCCAGCCAAATCCACAAGCCAAAGTTTGCTATTGGTGCACTCACCATTGATTAAGTTCTTTGCTCTTACCATTATGCACAGCATGCTGTTTGAAAATGTTAAAAATTTTAGGTCAATCATTGATGAGATATTCAATAAATAACTTAGTAGAATCACATCACATGTTTAAGAAAATTGACCAAAAAAAAAAAAAAAAAAAAGAGGTTGGAGCTTAGTACCAATGAGATCGGCTGCTATGCTCATTCACATTATTGGATCCAACAGCTCTTGCATTACTTCCAGCCTGCAGAACATTCCAGGCTTCCCTAGTGCTGTTAACCCGAGCTTCCAAAATTCCTGGAACATGATGTGAACCTCCAGAAGATTGCTTTACCTCCAACCTAGAAATACCCAGAAAAGAAAAGTCAATGGGCATTTTGTTGTCAGAAAAATTTATAACTGCTAGCCAAGTCATTTTTAAGCCAACTTCAAAATGTTAATTATGCTTCCCAAAGTTTACTAGAACAGTTTAGTTTTTTTCTATCATTACGCAGGAAAATGAAAGAAATAGAAAATTTACTTCTTTGATGATGGTGATGTAGCTAACAGGTCTCTGATCTGCTCATTGTAGACTTCAAGCACACTAACAGATATATTGTAAGTAAAAGTTTCACTCCTTTCCTTGGTAATTTCAAACAATTGATCAAGAGTCCTGTAATTGACTCCTCTATTCTGCTCAGTACCCTCCATCGTAAATGTCTTCCCTGTCCCTGTTTGTCCATAAGCAAATATACAAACATTGTACCCATCTAGCACCGAAGTCACCATTGGTGAAGCATCCGCAAACACATCAACTGTTAAGGCAAAAACAAAACTCCAGCTCAATACGCACTTCTCAAAGTTAAAATGCTTACATCATATCAATCAATCAATAGTGATATATAAATACCTTTACATCATATCAATCAATCAATAGTGATATATAAATACCTTGACTATCTTTTGGTGTGTACACTCGGTCAAATTTGAATGTCTTTTTTGTGGAACCACCATTTAAAATCCCAAGGTCTCCATCTTTCGCTGCATCGAAGTCTAAAACTGTTGCACATCCAGCAGATATATCATCCTTATTCTGTGGACGGCAGCGACAGAAAACCCTGATATTTCCTGATATTCAACAAACATTTAAGTGCCTTCTAGTCAAAATACTCAACATATACTAGAGCAGATGAATCACTACTACAAGGGGAAAAACATGCCTTTCGTCTCCTGAATTTGGTTATAAAGCTCCTTTCTCTTGGCTTGCTCTTCCACGTACTTCATTTTAAAATCCTCACACTGTGCAACTGCAGTCCAAACTCATGAGTGTGTATAAGACAAAGTGTAATTCAAATACCAACCAACTTATTGTGTAATCAAACCTACCCAATGCCTGAACTCCAGTGACCATTTTATTCAACTCGGGTATTGAATCCGCACAGTCATGTGCTTCGCGAGAGAGTTGAGAATGTTCTTGCTTCATCCTCTGCACAAACATCAATTACAATAATTCATGGTAACCAAGTATCACAAACAAATAACGATAATTTGATATGTGCTCCTGAATAATCTTCATTACGAACCTTTACTTTTTCTTGTAATTCATTGACTGCTGCTGACCAATACTTTTTATCACGTTCATATCTGCTGGTAATAGTCCTCAAACCTTCAGTTTGTTTCCCAACAGTTTGATCTAGCAGAAAAAATGAAAAATATCAGAAATTTTCCGACCTAGAATAGCATAATGCCAATAAAAACAATTAATGGTGATTCCTTTCTGATTAGACCGGACTAAAATTATAGAAAACCATCAATCCGTCATGAAAACATTAAACACGCAATAATTAACACTTGGGAGTTCGGACACATGTTATACTTGTATACAATATATTCCGCAAACTAAAACTCTACTCATAATTTATTTAAACTTTACAAGAGCCTATCAGGAAGTAAATTGCATCCACCATTTTACTAAACAGATAAATGAAAAGTTTTGTTGTCAAGAATAATTTTAAGGGTTAATTGCGTTAGCTAACAGCAACAAAGAAAGAGAGGAAGTCCATCAACTGGCTTCTGTTCTACTAAAAAGGTAAGGAATATATACTTTCATAATTACCTAGAGTCAGTGTTTGAAAGATTTTATTGTCGAGTTCCATCCTAACCTTCTCCAGCTGCTCATTTGCTTGAGTCAGTGACATCCACGCTTCATGGCATTCATTTGTCTTAAGCTGGCACTGCTTAGTGAGCTCTTGTATCTTCTTCTCGTACTTATCTGTAGCTTTTACTCGCATAAGTTTCTTCTGCAAGCCATAAAAACAATGAGCTAATAAGCGGCAAGTTAATATCTCAACATTACAACACTTCACATCAGTTGCATCTGACCTGAGCTGAAGACACTTCCATCTCGGCAGCACAGCTGTTACATTTAAGATATTCATGTGACACCCGAGGAACTGTACCCAATTTGCAGGTGAGGTACATTAGAAGTTGCTTCAATATGTACATATATTATACTTGTCTCCCCAAATCATGAATTAAAACAACAAACTAAAACTCATGGTACCTGACACCTCTGCCGCTTTCCTTATGCAAATTCCACAAACCGCTGGGCTTCCATTAACCCCTTCAAATCTTATATGAATTACTCCTTCCTCCTTTACAGAGACCTTGGTGTCAACTAGTTGCAACGGTTTATTTGCTCCAACAATGGAGAAAACATCAAAATCAGATAGGACCTGCAATCATCCCTAAATAATGAATATTTAGGTACATCAAACAAAAGAAACGAATAATGAAGTGATTTTTGCATAATAACTTGCCTTCTCTTCCTGCACAAATACATTGAATACTCTCATTCCCTTAGGTCCATTGATGTTTATAATCTCCGCGAAATGCAGATCAACAACGTAGTCCCCAGGAGGAAGATTATTGAACCTATAATAAAAATTCCCTAATCGTGCCGACTTGTATAGGAATGGATAATCTCCGGCCTCAATTATATTCTCATCCGTTCGTAAAACATTTCCTCCTTCGAAATACTTATCACCCACAATCTTCATACTAGATTCTGCTTCATTTGAGCCGTCACCTCCAGCATTTACAAACATCACAACTTCATCTGGTTAAAGGAAGCATAACAAATATATAAATTACTTGCCCATTGAAATTATTTAGAAAGATTAACCCAAATTTTTGCCGCTAATTTTGTTTCTAAAATAATTGTTTTTTTTAACTAAGCCAACATTCTGGGTCTGACAACCAGAAATTAAGGAACAGTTTTTCATATATTTTCTAGCAAGCATTTTCTCAGCAAATAAACAGGTGTAATTTCAATAAGAGAAGACAAAACCTGGAAAGCAGTAAAGACTAACCTGTACAACTAGATCTTGTAAACCCAGTTGGAATTAGTCTTGAATCAGAGTCACAAAGCATCGAATCAACCAAAGAATCTTCATTTTCATCTTCGTCCATAGCAGAAGCTTTATTTTCTTGATTCAAAATCAAAATTTTCTCCCAATCAAAAAGATTATTTGAACTCAGGGCTTCCGGGTCTTGATGAACAGTGTTTAATTGAATATTTTCCATGAAAATACTAGGGTTTGAGTGCTTGGAAACTGGGAAAACTTTAGATTTAAAGAGAGAAGCTTTTCTTTAGTTTTGCTTAAAGCAAGAAAGTGATTGAAGAAGAGGAAAGTGGCGTGGGGGGATGAGTTAAAGAATGTTCAAATTTGAATTCTATACGACCGTTATAAAAACTTAACCGTTATTGAAGAGAGTCAACAAGCTTACTTAGGTAACAAATTAAACCAAAAAGTAAAAGTAATTATACAAATTACAAACTTTTTGTATATTATAGTAATTTTATACGTAAAAAGTTGTGTTAATAATTATTTTTGTCCATTATTAATTTTATGTTATTATAATTCCAAACTAAAAATATAATTTATTAGCCCCGCCTTCACACTAAATTATAAGGTTACTATCCTTCCCCATGCCAAACTTCTAGTTTTTTTTAAGAGACACCCTGAAAATTATAAAATAGAATTATTTACTAATCACGTTTAAAAATCGAAAATATGAATCTTAAAGGGGTAAATTTTTTATTTTATATTTAAAACATTCGGTTTTTTTTTTTTTTTTTTTTTTTTTTTTTTTTTTTTTTTTTTTTTAATGATCCCGTCTAAGATGTAATGTATTTGCTTCATTTAGAAAGTACTAAAACCCATTATAATTATTAAAAAAAAAATCCCCTTAAAATATGTTAAATATTCTATTACAAATATAAAAAAACTGCTAATAAAGTTATTTAATACTCTCTTAACTTTTTTTTTTTTTTTAAATTAAATTTCATCAGAAGAAAAGAAAAAATATATAAAGACCATAAAATCTTGGCCAACCTACCTAAAGACATACTGTGAGTTAGGTGCAAAAAAAATCAAGTAATCTAAAAGACTATTATCAAAAAGCTAACTAGGCAAGAGCCTATACAAAACCAAATGTCCACTCTCCTCTTGTTATGCAATCTTAATACCAAGATTGTGAACCCCTGGAGCACAAACGAACTAGCCCACACAAAGCAACAGAAGCCAACGAAAAAGATCAAAAACAAAGAAACGGCTCCTCCCACAAGACAAGCCCCTAGCCCTAGGTGAGGAACCAGAAAAAAAATGTCAAAGACAAGAAATACAAAGACAACAACTCGGCATTTCAATCTTCACTAGCAAGCGGACCAAAACAACATCACGGGGGCATCAATCAATTAGACCGTGGGGTGGGTAAGATTTGAAAATGGACCTTGGAAGGCCCCCATCATCCATCAAGCGCCTATTATTGAAAGTAACCTTAAACTTTTTAAGCTCAATGACTTTTTCTCTAACTACGCACTTTATAAAGTCTATAATAAAATTAATCAATAATATTAGATGTACAAATAAATCTTATAAAAATTTGTGTACAAACTGATGTGACATAAAATGAATGAATGAATGAATATAAAAAGTCAAACTCATCATATTTACTCTTCCATTTATTTTGTGTAACATCAATTTATACACAAATCTTTATAAGACTTGTTTGTACACGTAACATTACTCAAAAATTAATATCTCTACATTCACCCCCAAACATCCTATTATTTCTCTCCCTCCAAAACCAATAAAACGTGGCTCCCAAGTGTGTGTGTGTCTTCATTTTGAAAGTTCTCACAAACAAAAAGATAATTCACTTATAAAATCTCCTAAACCTATTACCTCATAACAAAAAGGAAAAACAAATTAAGACAATTATTTTTCATTAAAAAATTCTGAGGGCCTTTTTTTTTTAATTATTTTTGCACTATCTTATCTCTATCCTATAAAAAATACACATTTGTTTCCCTATTATGAAAACATATTCTATTTTATTCAATTATTTTTAAAACTCCTATGTTTGTTAATTTAACTAAACACAAAAAAAAAAAAAAAAAAAAGTTTAGAAATTGACAAAAACACTCTCACCCACCCACATTCGCTAGATTCTGACACCACTGTCAGAAAGTGGCTGAAATATGATATAATGGTGCACTACCGGCTGAATTTAGCCGGTAGTGGCTAGTAGTGCGTCGATCTAGAGTTTTTCGGCCAAATCCACTGTTGATTTAGCTGGAAAAGGTCAGATCTACAGCCAATGATCTGATCGTTGATGGCTAAATCTTTGGCCGTAGTTGGTTGTTAACAACGGTTAAGATATAATCATCGTTGACTATCAAACATGGTTGTCGACATTTAATAGGTGGTGGGGAGTGTTTTTGTTAATTTTCAATATTTTATTGTACCGGTGCTTAGTAAATTAACAAACCTAGGGGAATATTTTTGTTAATTTTCAAATCATATCTTGTAATAACTACCAAACTCTTATTTTTTCAAAAATGTTATTAAAAAAAAAACACGCCCTAAATTATTTTGCGAAACAGAAAGATATTTTCACTTATAGACTACTGACACGTCATTAAATACAACAAGCCAAAAATAAGTACACAACAGGATATCGCTTCCCCTTTTGATTAAGGGGACACTCTTCTCAATAAACATCGAAATGCCAGAACTGCCATTCACGCACGAGGTTTGCATCAATGGTCTATTTTCAACAATGCGCCACTCGCATCCCATGGCCGTCTGCACACTCTCCCTTGAAACTCAAATTTATTTCTTATGCTTATTTAAATATATCTTGACTCTTAAGAGATTGAAATTTAAGGACATTATGATTTTTAAAGTTTAATTTTATAAATCTCTGAGTAAATAATAATTAAATATTTTTCTCTAGATATCAATATTAAATTCACTTAACTACTTAATTATTCTTATACTGTTTGTTTTAACATAAAAAAATTAACAATAAGATAATTTTTATTATTTTTCTAATTTATAAAAAATCATTATTGTTATTTAATTATATCTAAAAGATTATTATTATTAACCTTAATAATAAGAGATAATTGATAAAACCCTAGGCTTCGTTTGGTTGGATTTTGGGAATACTACTTTTAGTATTCCCAAAAAAGTTAAACAGTAAAATACCCAAAAACTCACAATATTATTCAACTTTATTCAACATTTTTTAAACCCCCTAAATTTGTTAATTCAATTAAATACCCCTAAATATTTTTAATGTTTTTGTTACGGCGACTCCAGCCACCCTCCGGCGGTGGTGGCCGGCTGTCCGTATTTGAGGGTGGATTGGGGGTGTTTTTGTTAACTTTTAATATTTTATTATAAGGGGTGTTTTGTAAAAAAACAAATATAGGGGTATTTTATAATTTGTAAATCCTACATCGTAATACCCGTCCAATTCAACTTTTTTTTTAACTTTTTTCAAAAAACTTTTCCCAAAAACACAAAATTGTGAACCAAACGGAACCCTAGTATGTTTGCCTTTTTACAGATAGCACAGAGAAAAAACCTAAATACACATAGCCCCCATTCCGTCAATAACGGTTAAAAAAATCTGTTAGTTGTTAAAGTGACTATTTTACCCTTTAACCAAAATATAACAAATTGCTGTAAAGTAATTAAATTAAAGATATAAAGTTATATTTATAAAATTTTCTTTTTCACCCCATATACTTTTCCTATTAAACCCAAAATATTCTTTTTAATTTATTCTTTTAAATTTTCTTTCCATCCAAACATAAACTTCATCACCAAACAAACCCAACAATACATCTCAAATTTTTTCTTAAACCAATTCAATCAAAGAATTATCAAACATTAAATTCACAACAATCCATCACAATTTCTTTGCAAAACTCAATCCAATCAAACAAAATGCCAAAAATCCATCACATTTTTTTTTTTCCAAAACTTAATCAAATTAAATAATCTCAACAATCCATCACAACTTTTTTTTCCAAAACTCAACCCAATCAAACAAAATCCCAACCCATCACAATTTTTTTTTTCCAAAACTCAATCCAATCGCACAATCCCAACAATCTATCACAATTTTTTTTTTTTCCAAAGTTCAATCCAATCAAACAATCCCAACACTCCATCACATTTTTTTTTTCCCCAAAAAACTCAATCCAATAGAAAATTATCAACATTCAAACTTTAAAAAGTTAATAACCCAAACTCCTAATAGATCAAATATATTTAATCCAAAAACTGAAAAAATAAAATAATTGTGGTTGGTGTTCAATGCCCGCTCGATCTGGCCACCCGACCTGGAGTAGCGGCGGCCAGATCGTGGCCGCCCGATCTGGGCACTGCTGGGCCGGATTCCGGTGAGTGAATAGGGAGGAGGAAAAAGGAAGAGAAAGAGAAAAAGAAAGAAAAGAGAGAGGAAGGAGAAGAAAGAAGGAGAAAGAAAATGAGAGAGGAAGGAGAAGAAAGAAGAAGAAAAGAATGAGACGAGGGAAACGGACACAGAAAAATGGGAGGAGGAAAAAGAAAAAAGAAAAATATTTGTATGGTTTTGTGGAAAGTATATTTAAATATCAAAAATACCCTTAATAGGTTTATTATTACTCTTATTAAATATAAAAAATACCTTATTAATGGTTAAAGTCAACGTTCAAAATTAACGGAGGGGTTATGTGTAATTAGATTTTTTCTACAATTATCCCTAATAATAATGACGAAAGAATGGCAGCCGGCAAGACACTGTTAACTTACGTGGGTTAATGAAAGCGCACACGCACAGAAGTGCGTGGTCTGAAAGTGAAAGTGGAAGTCGGGAAGAGTGAGGCGTCCCGGTAAATAAAAAACGAGTGGGCGTCCCGATCCTTTCCTTGGATTGCCGAAACCTTCAAATTTCCCTCACTTTCTCAGTTTACCATTTTTATACAAGGCAACTCATTTACTTTGCAAATTCATTTTCTTTTAATTTAATTATTTCTCACCATTAAAATTATTGTAGTTTCACCCTTTTCGGTATGTATTAGTTGGCTTTATCCATGCAATTTTTTTTTTCTTTTTTAATTGTTACCTTTCATTATATTTGATTCTCATCGATTTACCTACAAATTTTTGATGTTTTCACTTCAATTTCTTGTTTGTTTTCAGGTCATGTAAGCCTAAAACTTTGGGCCTCTAATTGTTGTTTTCACTTTACCGTGATATGATCAGGTAAAATCTTTTGCATTTACATTGCTAATCTTTTTCTGTTGCAAATTGAATTCTGATTTTGGAAATAATTCTTTTTACTAGG